GGTAGAGCATGGAGCCTACCACGGCCCCCACCAGGGGAGCCACTACTGGCACCCACCACCAGCCATGGCCAGCCCTGGGGAGACAGCGTAGGCCAGGTCAGTCCAGAGGCATGAGGCTGGGGAAGGGGGGTCTCACAGGGCAGCACTGGGGGCCAGGGATGTGGTGGGGCTGGAGGACAGGAGATCCCAGGCTTTGCCAGCCCAGGCTATGGTTGGGGTCTGATCCTGCAGTGGGGACAATGGGCCTGGTTGGCCCCTGTGGATTGGAGGGGCTCACCTTGTTACCCACCTGAAGACCTGGGGGCCCCAGCCTGCCACATAGGTGAAAAGCCGTGGCCCGAAGTCACGGGCAGGGTTGATAGCACAGCTGCAGTTGGAGCCTACGGAGAGGCCAAGGGCCAGCACCAGCATGGCCACGGCCACTGGCTCCAGCCCCTTTGGGATGCCCTTGTTCTGGGTGTCCACGATGGCCAGGATGCCCACCAGCAGCAGTGCTGTGCCTATCACCTGCAAGGAGCCGCCAGGTACGGTGAGGGGCACTCTTCTGCCCCCAGCCCCCAAGGGAGAGCAGCAGGCCTAGGGGGGCCGGGGCAGGCAGTCAACCACAGGCCCAGGCTTGGGGGTCACCGGCCCCCTGACACACAGTTTGGGGCATCCCTCTCTTTCCAGCAGCCACAGGGTTAAGGACCCCACCTGCCCCAGGGTTCAGTCAATAGGAGCTCCAGCCCCAGAGCCCCACCAATCCAAACCCTGCACCCTCAGCCTCGCCTGCCCAGGGAAGGGGAGCAGGGGTGCACCTGGTCCAGGAAGCCACTCTGGAGGGACAGGTAGGGTGCAGGGTAGGTGGCAAAAATGGAGGCGGTTTCCCGGGGACCTGTGACTGCAAGGGTCCCATTACTGTAGTGCTGGATGGCATCTGCAAAGGAGTCAGGTGTGAGCAGGCCTCGGGCACCCAGGCGCAGACAGCCCCCGGCAGCCTGACAGCCGAGCCTGCCCTTGCATCTAGGCACGGGGCACACACATCCACATGCATGCATGTTGCCCACACCCCTTGCACCCACACACCCGGCTCTCACCATAATAGAGGGCATAGACAGCACCGGCACCCAGGAAGGCTGCCAGGGTCTGCATGACAATGAAGATGGGCAGCTTCCACCAGGGGAACCGGGCCAGCACACACATGGCCAGTGAGAAGGCAGGGTTCAGGTGGGCGCCTGCAAGACACAAGCAGGAGGGGCCACGATGGGGCTGAGATGTGGGGGGAGGGCAGGGGCACAGGGCAGCACTGCCCCAGGGGCCCCTGAGCTGCAGAGGTGTCAGCAGCGCGTGGCTGGGAGCTGGGGGCAGCGGCAGAGATCAAGGTAGCAGCAGCAGCCAGGAGATAAGGGGATGGAGAGAGGCTGAGTCAGGGGCATCCAGCCCCAGAGCCTCCCGTACCTGCTGGCCTGGACCCCACTCCCACCGCCGCACTCACCTGAGACTCCGCCAGCAATATAGACGGCCACCATGACGGCCAGGGCCCCGGCCAGGCAGGAGGAGACATACCCACCCTTCGCGCCCTGGCTGGTGACGGTCTGTGCCGCGGCGCCCAGGGTTATCAACTAGGAGAAGCAGGGAGAAAATGTGGTTCTCCATGGGCTGGTCCCCCCAGCACCGCCCTGTGGCCCCTCGCTCTCCAGGCCAAAGGCTCTCCTGTCACCCAAGGCCTGCTGCAGCCAGGCCAAGATGGCAGCTCATGACCGCTCCAGGTTCTCTTTTGTACAGTCTCTATGGTGCTGGCTGGGTCAAACCAAGCACAGGCCATGCACAGCCCCAAGGAGTTCCTGAAGAGCAGAGGGCCAGGAGCCGGCTTCCCAGACACGCCGATACACTCGGCTTCTAGTGTTTATAGCTCTGCTGATAAGGTCACTCGCCTACAAGGAATAAATGGAGCCAGATCCTTCTGGCCTGGTGCCTCAGGTCCGGCTCCCCCCAGCTGCCCAGACTAGCCCATTGGTTCCAAGGCAGGCCGTGCTGAAGGCTCACGTGGTCCCAGCCTCCCTTATCACCCTCTAAAAGCAACACAAAGGTCCCACACCCCAACCTTTGCCTGCCTGGGGAGGGAGAGGGCATGGTGCAAGCTGCACACCCAGTTTGGGGAAAGGTTGTCAGCCCCCTGCACCTCCTCCACCCTGGAGCACCAAGCCACAAAGCCTCTAGAAACCTCCCAGCCTCAGATAGCTGCGCGGGATCTAATAGGGTCAAAGTGTGCAGCAGGGCCAGCTGCAGCGACGTGGAGCGGAGCGGGGCTGGGCTGGAATACAGGGGACCTGCCTCTGTTCTAATGATCAACCCCCCGAGACACACAGCTGGACAGGGGACCCAGGTGTCCTGCCCTTCCCTACTTCTAAACACTAGACCTCACACTCCTCCCCAGAGCTGGCCAGAGAACCCAGGAGCCCTGGCCCCATCTCTGCTTCACTTCCTGTAACTGGTTCAGAGGTTTCTATTGCTGCATTTTCTAGCTTTTCTCAGTCCCAGCTGCTTTCACTACAGTGCTGGTACCGATGTCCCGAGGCTAGTGCCTGGCCGAGGCCCCCTCGGGCCCTCCGGCTGCTGGAGCTCGGACATGCTGAGGCCGGGCAGCCCACTGGGGCTGCACGCCTGGCCTGGGTGGGCTGGTGGCTCCCAGCAGCTGTTCGTGTCTAGTTCCTTCCAGTCCAGCCCCCACCCACACCTGGTGGTAGGGCTGAGGGAGCCACAGCCCATCCCACCCCTCCAACCCCACATCACCTGCATCACAGCCTCTTGGGGTAAGTCTGTGAATCCCTGCATTGCCAGTGCCCCTCAACCCCAACCTGATGCCCCCAGCCCTGCCAGCACCCCTCTCCTGCTTTGTAACCCCCATTACCAGCCCAGGGCTCCCCTCACTGGGCCTGAGTCTTGCTCCCATGACACTCACCATCAGCACAAAGACAGCGAGCAACTCAGCCAGGCACTCCCGGACCAGGCGGCTGCGGACATGGAGCAGAGTCCTAGCCTTTGCCAGGAAGCGTGCAGAGACCATGGCAGCCCTAGGCAGCAGCAGCAAGAGGGAGCTTTATGTCAGCCCAGCATTTTTATTGAGCCTCATAAGCTCCTATCTGCAGCTAGTGATAAAGCACAGACTTTCACTCCAATCAAGTGGGCATGAGGTGGCCCCTCCTGTCTCCAGGACTGAGCTCTGTTCTACCGGGATCAGGCCCCCACGCTCTCCATAGCCAGCCACGGGCCAGCCGGAGCCCACAGCTCTTCACCCCAGGGCTAGCAGCAGGACTGCCAGGACCACGCAGCTGGGAGATAACCCTGCCTCAGCCCAAGGGGAAGAGACCCAGCCCATGCCAGCTGCCCAGGTCAGCCCCGTCACCAAGGCAGGGAGAGATGGATGCCTGTATGGGTCCAGCCTTCACTTCTCACTCTTGAAAACAAGGGGGGGAAGGAGGGGGCTTCCAGGCAGCAGTTGAAAGCTCACAGGAGAGCAAGAACAGTGCCCAAGACCCTGTTCTCCAGCCTGGCGCTGGCATGGGGAGGGCTCTCCTCTTGGCGAGATGCTCAGGCAGGGGCAGCCCTGGCACAGCAACAAGTGCTAATGAAATGGCCCTGGAAAGGCTCCCAGCAGCCGCCTCTGAGAATAGCCCCAGGAGGCCTCAGCATGAGGGGATGTAATGAAGTAGAGCAGGAAGGGCGGGGCAAGGCACAGAGCCAGGGGCCTGTGGATAGCTGCACCCGCAAGGGGGATAGCACCAAGGCTGGTCGGGGGGCAGCTCCTGGCTCAGAACAGGGGACTGCCCCAGGCTCCACAAAGCCTGGCACCACGAGCCACAGACAAGCCTTAAGATGAGTGTTAGCATAAATAGACTTTATTACTCTACGCACACCAGTACGAGGACGGCGAGACAACCCAGCACAGCCCCTGCATTCCCTGCTGGGATCAGACACCTGCAAGTGAGAGAGCAGAGTTGTGAGACTGCCCCAGGGCCTGTTTGCCCTTCCCCACTGAGGACGTGACCCCAGCCCTAGCTGGAGAGGAGAGGTGGGATAGGGAGGCCCCCTGGACAGGCCCCATGTCTAGGTTGAGAGCACATACTGCCCCAGGCCTGAATGCCTCCCCTCTGCCTTAGCCCTGCTCTGCTCACAGCACAGCCCATGAAGCAGCCTCTGCCCTGGCAAACCAGGCTCTGGTACCCACCCCCCAGGACCGCTGCAGCAGGCACTGCCGCATCTTCAGCAAGGATGCCAGCCAGGTGGCCCAGCTACATGGCAGTCAGCCAAGGCATGCTGCAGCATGAAGCAGGGTCACCTCATCCCCTCTGACAGGTGGCACGGGAAGGCAGAGGATGCCATGTATCTTAGCAGCAGTGCAACTGCCACTGTGAGTTAGACACATGTCCTGGGAAGTAGTGCTTGCTCACTCCTGAGCACTAGCCTTCCCCCCAGCACACAGTGCTTGGCCTCTGTCCCTGCAGCACAGATGTGGACACAGACCCCAGAGCTACCGGCCTGAGAACCAGCGGCGCAGGAAGCCGCCCAGGAGAGAGGAGTCCCTCAGGTCCGGGGTGCGGGGCTCTCCCTGCTGCTGCCAGATGCCTGTGAACCATGCCGGCTGCCCTGCAGGACAGAGGGGAGCTTGCTCACTCAATTGGGGGGAGGATGGGGGTGTCTCCCAGACAGCCCCTGTCCCAGGTAACCCCCAGCACAGCCCCAGGGAGGTTCCAGCTCACACTCACAGTTGTCCATGCCGGTTGCCTCGTCCCTGCCCTGCCCAGGCTCCATGGTGGTGACAGTCTGGTCCCTGCGCCACTGGGTCACTGTCTCCCGGTGGCCCTGGCTGTCCTGCACCATTCGACGCTCCTCCACGGTCTGCACAAGTGACACCAAACTCTGGTCACCCCTGGAGCCTAGGGCAGGCCCAGGCACCCCAGACCCACATCCTGCCATGCCCAGAGTGAGGATCCTGTGTAGCCACCTCCCCGGGGCAGCAAGCCCTTGCTCTGTCACAGCCCAAGATCAGCCCCATGCCCAGAGCCAGACATCTGAACCTTGGAAGAGTAGAAACACACTACTCCCACCCCAGTCCAAGCCCACTACCAAGAGCAAGGGGTTCCAGGGAGTCACCCTGTGCCCAAGACCAGACCTTACACCCAGATCACTCACCCCATCAGGCCTGGTCACTGTGGTGATGGAGACGCTCTGGAAACAGGAGTGGGACTTCGGCTCACTTGGCCTCAGGATCGTCTCCAACCCAGCTGAGGAGACCTGGGAGTCCAGATCTGGGGAGGACAGACAGCACGAGGCTGGCACAGGCCTCTTCTTCCCCACCCCAGCACCAGCCAAGATCACTCCTGTGTCATGCTGTTGCTACAGGCATTAGGCTCAAGCTCTACGTCACAGGAAGAGCAGCAGGGGCCTGGGTCCAAGGCTGAGCCACCCCCTCCCAGCTGTCCAGAGCAGCCCCAGGACAGGCAACCCTGGCTGTGTTCCCAGAGGGAGGGCTGCCTCCAGCCTGACAGGCACAGACCTCTGTCCTCCTTGAGAGCAGGCAGCAGCGGGTGGGTATCCTTCAGCTGCAACAGAAAGCATAGGTGTTACCAGAGACTGGAGTAGCTCTGCACAGTCCAGGGGAACCTCACAGAGCTGCTGTACCTGGGGAAGGACCTGTTCACAAGGAGCCATGGCAGGTAATTCCCCACACACACCTGCAAGCTACCTGTGGGATCTCACACTGCCCAGGCAAGACACCCCTCCCCTTGCACCTACCCCTGCAAAAGGTTGCCAGGGCCTCCTGCCTGGGGCTGCTGGGCCAGCACCATCCCCCAAGCATCCACCTGAGTCGGGGTCCTCCACAGGGGTCCAGGGGCAGGGACCATCTGGGTACTTCAGCATGGAGTCCCGCAGCGATTGCCTGTGCTTCTCGCCAGCAGCAGGCGGGGGCGGCTCCACGCTGGGGAGCTCTGGGGAGCAAAGGATGCAGGCGGAGCTGGGATTCCCCAGCATGGCCTTGGGCACACCCAGGGCCCTGCTCTGCCAACAGCCCCAGAGCCTGACCTGCATCCCCCTGGGCCTGACCTGGGGGGGGGTATGCTATGCCCACCCCAAACTCTTCATGCTCCCACTCCAGCTCTCCAGTCCAGCCCCCTGCTCCCACTCGTGGCTCTCAGCTATGCCAGCACCCCTCACTCACTGTCTCCTGGACCCCACACAGTCCCAGCCCTGCCTGCACCTGCAATCCCAGCCCACAGCCCCCCAGCCTGCATGACAGGGCAGCCAATGGGGCACCTCCCCAGGGCCCTGATCCCAGCCCCACACGTCCACTGCAACGGGGCTGCCCGCACCGAAGGGCCGCATCCAGGCCCCCATGTCATGGAAGAGTTCATTGAATTCACGGAAGAGATGGTCAAAGTTGAGGCCGTCGTGGAAACGCATCCCGCCGGGGCCGACGCTGAAGCCAAAGCCAAACTGCTCGGCGGGGCCCCACTCTGCACCCATCGCGTCATCATCGTCATCCTCATCCTCATCCCGCGTGATGCCCCCAAAGAAGGGGTCCCGGGGCCTGGGGGGAGCGGGGTCAGGAGCATGGGGCAGCGGCAGGGAGATGATCAGCCCCACGGGGGACACTGGGTGCTGGGCGGCCTGGTGGAGATGGCAGAGCCCCACCGCACTGGGCCCTGCACGGAGGCGGCGGGGGGGGTGGGGGCTGCACTGGTTGGGTGCCGCAGGGGGGTCCCGCCCTGGTCTGTGCTCTCGGGGAAGGGGGGACAGTTGGGGGAGGCTTTGCAGGGGTTTGTCCCTGGGTCCCGGCTGGGGTGTTTTGGGGGTCCTGCCTGGAAGAGACCATGGTGGGGGCTAAGCCCGGCTGGGGCGTCGCGATCGGGGGGCACCCAGGTGGGTCCCGGGCTGGCGGGTCCCAGCCCAGGGGGGCGGTTGGGGGTCCTGGCTGGGGCAGACCCGAGCTGAACTGGGGCACTGCGATTAGGGGGGTCCCGGTTTGGTGGTGCCCAGGGAGTCCCGATCCCGATCCCGACCCCGGTTTGGGGGGTCCCGGGGGCGGGGGGCGCACCTGCGGAACCCGAAGAGCCCCCGGAAGACGTCGTAAAAGCTCATCCCGCCGCTGCCGTCAAGCGCGGCGCTGTCGGTCGTACTATGCGGTTGCTAAGGGCTGTAGCAGCTCTCGCGACGCTGCCGCGAGGCCACGCCACCGTCAAGCGGGAGCCTCTCTCCCCGCCCCGCTGCCATCAAGCGCGACCGCCCAGTGTCGCGCCGCAACGTCGTGGCAACCTCCTCGCCTTGACTGTCCTCAGGCGGGCGGACTCGCTGCCGTCAAGCGCAGCGGGTGAATGTCGCAAAAGATTCCCCCCCCCCGCGCTTTACAGGCACTCCGAGCGCGGCTAGTGACGTCATAGCAGTTTAATGAGCGGGAGTTAACTCTTGTCCTGCCGGCGGCGCAGCAGCAGCAGCACGGGCCCGGCGGGAAGCGCGCGCAGCACGTGCCAGGCCTCGAGCCGCGACCGCCCAGCCAGGCTGGTCCCGCCGG